TGGGAGAGGAGTGAGTGCCTTTGTCTAGAAGGAGGATCCGGATTTGTACCCTAGCATCCACTGAACTGGGGACTGTAGCATTATAAAAATGCAGGTTAGTTTGCATGCCAATGAAGTGTTTTAGTATAGTCAGGAAAACTATTGCTCCTTATTTAAACAGCTAATCAAAATGGAAATCATTTTTCAGCTAGTATCATGACATATCTTATTTCCTTATTATCTCATTTTTTTAAAATGCTTTACTCAGAATTTCCTTTGAGAGATAATTAAACTATAAGTTAAGCCTTGTCTAGAATAATTAAGCTTTCTCTGGCAGGACAAATATTTTCAGTGACATCTAGTAAACATTTTTCTGTACTCCCATCGTTTGAAGGAGGCAGTGTAGCAGAGAGCTTAAGAGTATTCACGGATACAAAGTTTTAGTTATGCAAGACGAAAATGTTCTAGAGATTTGCTGCACATTTGCCTATAATTAACAATACTATATTGTATGCTTGAATAGTATATTGTGAAGAGGCTAGATCTCGTGTTAAGTGCTATTGCCATATAAAAAATACAATACAATACCATACCATACCATACATTACAATACAATACAGGTGTTAAGTGCTATTGCCATATAAAAAATACAATACCATACAATACATTACAATACAATACAGTACAGTACAATACAATACAATGCAATGCAATGCAATGCAATGCAATGCAATGCAATGCAATGCAATGCAATGCAATGCAATACAATATAGTACAATACAACAGTGTACTCTGAAGCCAGACCATTCACCTTTACATCCTGATTCCACTCCCTCTGTGCTTTGGACTTTGGACAAGTTGCTATGCCTTTCTAAAACTCACTTCTCTATAAAAGTGGGCTGAATATAGCACCCCATAAGGTTATTATCATTGAGGGAAGCAGACTAACATGGTTACAGAGAGAATGGGTTTGGCACCCAACTTCATGGGCTTGAATGCTGCCTGACCACTCACTAATTTTATTGAACCTATCTGCTTGTTTTCATATTTGCAAAAAAGAGATTGTAATAATAACAAATTTCTTGTGTGTTTATAACCTAAGTGAATTAGCAAAGAAAAAGAGTTTAGTGGAGTGTTAAGCACATCACAAGTGCTCAATAACGTGAGCTGTGATTATTAGATGTTGAAGAAGCTTGCAAAGTTTCAACTGAATTTGGTGAAGAGTAGAAGCAGGCTTCGCTCTAAAGAGCCTCATAGTCTAGTAAATGAGAAGGGCCAGGGCAGAAGTAATGATAAAAACCAGGCAAAATATGATAGGAATTTAAAAAGACAGACAAATAAAGCTCTGTGGAAAATAAAGAAGAAAGATATTCATTTCTAAGGAAAAGTGAAAAGCGAAGGACAGAACTTGAAGTGACAGTTGACCTGAACCGCAAGCAGAACATGTAGAATTTATTGCTTTCTCATTTGGTTGGTTAAATTCTAGGCAATTCTATAAATGACCTAATTGCAAAGAGGTGGCTGAGCAGCACCATCTATATAATTTCCTCTGGCTGAGGATCCAAGTGTCTGAAGCTACTCTGGAGCTAATGGCTTTAAGAAAGAGAAAGGCTGTCCTTCTCCCAGCCCTATGTACCCTCCCCGTTCCCAGTTCCAGTTATCTAGGACTCCCAACAGTGGGTGGAGAAGCGGTTAGCAAAGCTTGCTTCCCCATTTCAGCAGATCTCCAAGCGTTCCAGAGAGTCCCTGCCTGTTCTGTTTCTGCTGGCATGCGGAAGTGAACGTTTCTACCCACTTCCCCACGGAGCAGGTGTTACTGCTGCCTGAAGCCAAAGAATTATTCCTCAAAAAACTAAGTACAGACTGGAGAGAGTCTCCACTCTGGGTAGCTCCAATAAAGTATAAGCCCTGTTTCTCGGCGTCTGAAAGTTATTTCACGGCCAGAGAACTTGGAAACCTAAGCTGAGTCACAGGGCGATCATCTGGATTTGCTGTGGTCAGGAGCAACTCTGGCAGTTTCAGGAGGAGCGTTAGCCTGGAGAACTGCAGAGAACAGGCTGTGGGGAGTCAGGCCGAGCTTGCTCTGCCACCTGTCCCATGTCAGGCAAGTCCTTTTACCTGTCTGCACTTAAGTTTTTTTTTTTTTTTAACCTATGAAATAATGATAATATTAGCTATCCTTATTTGAGTGCTTATGATGTTCCAAGCACAACATTTGAGGTATTATTCTTCCCTTTAGACAAATGAAAAAAAAAAATAGGCAGGAACACAATAAATCACAGCTATTATTAACATTTCAAAATGATATTGACATGATTACCATCTGCACATAAGAATATGGGTTAAAAAAGTAAATGTAGAACGAATTGTCTTTTTCACACCAGCACATACAAATACCATTTTAAGGTTTATTGAGGAAAGTATTTGCCTCTTATAACTATCGGTTGACCAAGTTTAGCTCCATAAAGAAGAGAAATTCCATTTTTCATGTTACATGTATAACATAATAAAGGCAAAAGAACATGGGACTAGAAAGTCATAGTACATAAGAAAATTAATAATTCATTAGAAATTAATAGTCCATACCCATCATACACTGTTGGTGGGATTGTAAATTGGTGCAGCCACTATGGAAAACAGTATGGAGGTTCCTCAAAAAAATAAAAATAGAGCTACCATATGACCCAGCAATTCTATTCTGGGTATTTATCTGAAGAAAACAAAAACACTAATTCTAAATGCTATATGCACCTCTGTGTTCATTGCAGCATTATTTACAATAGTCAAGATATAGAAGCAATGTAGTGTCCATCGATAGATGAATAAATAAAGAAGATGTGGTATCTATCTATCATCTATCTACTTATTATCTAATCATCTCTCTATCATCTATTTATGTAATGGAATATTACCCAGCCATAAAAAGAAAATAAAATCTTGCCATTTGTGACCTCATGTATGGACCTAAAGGGTATTATGCTAAGTGAAATGTCAAAGACAAATACCATGATTTAACTTATATATGGAATCTAAAAATAACAAATGAATAAACAAAATAAAACACAAACAGACCCATTGATACAGGGAACAAGTTGATGGTTGCCCAAGGTGGGGGATTGCGTGAGTGGGTGAAAAGAAGAGACTAGAAGAAAAAGAAATTAATAAGCCCTTTATACTTTTCAAAAAATATTTTTACTTTCTCCTTCTATCCTTATGTCAACTCCCTTAATTTTTCCTCATTTAATAGATGAGAAAGTAGTCTCTGCATGTAGTAGTAGCTTAAACTGGTGTTCCTGCCTTCGATGTCTCTAGTCCAAACTCCACTACTAAGTAGTTACGCAACTTTGGCAAGGCACTTCTGGCCTGGGGTTGCTCACCTACAAAATATGGGTGGGTTGTAAATCATCTGATTTGTAAGATTTTTCTTCTCTAATGGTCTTGGCATCTTGCAACCATTAACCTTGGTTTCACACATGTCCCAGCTCAAGATGAAATTCACCTTGTCCATCGGTTGGTTGCATATAATGGTGCTCTTTTACCCAATAGTCTTTATATGTCCTTGTGGCTATGCATTTGATTACTGTAAGGTTTTGTATTAAATAATATTTTTTTCAAAGTTTGGTCCTCTACTCGCACTCAGGAGGGTTCTCTGGAGATTGCAATCCTGGGATAAAAGGGGCAGAGCCCTTAAGATGTCTTCATTGTCTTCATGTATATAGGAGATGTTTGTGGAGCACTTCTTCCATCATAATATTAATCCTACTGACTTTGAAGTTATTTATCTTGCGTGCAGATACAAAGAAATTGATGTCTGATTGTGATCTGTGTAACCCCCAATAACAACAAGATTAGAATAGTCTGACCAAGCAAAGGCTATGCCGAGTAGAGAGAGCTAGGCATTAATTCGTGGGAGTAGCTAAAATATTTGCTTTGCAGGAAGCTGCTTCTTCCCTGTAGAGTTGGGCCTCTGAGCAGTGCCCAGACCCAAGAGCAGGGGATCTCTTTAGTTAAAGGTGGTTAATTATGTCTAGGCTCATGGGAGAGGCCAACTAGTGACAGGGCTTCTAAACCTCAGGCCTGTGTATGGGTGAATCTTTCTGAACTGAGATTGCATGGGACCAACACAATATTTTTTTTTGTTTTAATAAATTTTAAAGTTTTTCCAGTTCCAGCATTTCTGTTTCATTCATTCATCTGCCTGCTCCTTGAAGACATGAAAGTTGACATCTCTGAAACAGGGGTCCCCATTTGCCGGGCTTCCATCATGTGCTAAACATTTTACATCTTATTTATCCTCAAAACAGAATGGTGAATAAGTACTAGCATCTCCAGAGTACAAATAAGTAACTGAGGTTCAGAAGGAAGAACTTGCCCAGAGCAACATACCTAATAAGTACACCACAGGTTGGCTAAGCATTAAGCTGGAGCCAATTAGGTCTTGGTTTGCTTGGATCACATCATCTGGCCCCAGTGCCTTTTTAAGTTGAGTGTACCACGGGCGAATCGATTCCGTGACTTGCATTTATTCTTTCATATAAACAATCGAGACACCTGACTTTAATCACAGATACCATCTTTATCTAACCATTCAATCAATCCATTGGCGAATTTAGTGTGGGCATAATGTCTCTTTATTTATCATTCAAGAATCTTGTTCAAAGGAGAAAAGACTTGAGGAGAGGGAACCTCGCATAATATGAGTCTCCACATAGCTGAAAATCTAAGAGGAAGTCAATATGTCTATAGGCAAAGCCAGGCAGCGTAGGCCGGATTGAACCGCGATTTTTCAGAGCTGCCCATCAATCCTACTGTCAAGTCTGTGCTCGCTGCGCGCGGATTCCTCCGCAGACACCCAATCCCTAGGATTCCACCTGGATGCTAAGACCTGAGTTCTTCGCGTTCGTGTCCCAATTCGCCGCCTCGAAGCCGCCGCGCCGCAGCGGCGCAGCCGGGACACAGCGTCTGCAGGACGCGCGTCCGCCGTCTCCTGGCAACGGCAGACGCGGAGCGGGAGCCGCGCAGGCGGCTGCCATTCCTTGCTGAGCCTGGCCTGGGTCAGCCTTTGCTATGACTTCCAAACAAACCAAAAGGAAAGAGGTGCACCGTATCAACTCAGCGCACGGCTCGGACAAATCTAAAGAGTAAGGGACCTCTGCCAGCCCGTCTCACCCGGGCCTAACCCCTTGGCTTTTTCTGTAGCAGGCTCTGCCAGGGCAGGAAGGAGTTTAGCTGGCTGGCCTCCTCCCAAATTCTGTATCTTCTGCGGGAACCCACACGCAGGAGATTCTTGCTCCCATTCCTTCCCTAGTCCCGCCTGGACCATCCTCCTTTCCAGAGCCCCTCCTCTCCTTCGTAGCCCACCCACGCACTCGGAAAAGCTGGTATCAGATGATATCAGACATCAAATGGTTTTTAAAAAGTTAAACCTATATAAATATGTAGTTTATGTTATTAATGTTTACCCCAAGAAATTTTACAGAGCCTAACTCTTGGAATCTATTTGATGCCTCTCTGTCCTGGGGTGGTGATTGTTGTGTCTGCTTATGTACCTCGTTATTATTATTTTTCCCTTTGGTCTCTCTCTCTCTCTCTCTCTCCCCCTCTCTCCGTTATTTATAGCACAGACTTTAGAATATTATTTGAATTTATAACATTTATTCCAGCTATGAGAGAATGCCAGCTACCAAACATACCTCAGTGGGGTCATTTATGTTCGTCCAGCTATGCCTGTAGGGAGTGGGCAGTCAATTCTTTTCAACTAGATTCTTACATTTTGGATGCCTACTTCTTCACCACCTTCCTTGCCTAAAGGTGGTGAATCCCACATTGGACTTCTGTTCACCCATCCCTAGTATTTAAACTCTTTTAATTCCTCTCCCAGAATCATTTCCATGTCTGTGATTTCTGATTCTCTAGTTCCTAGTTTTCTGTCCTATCTCACAAGCAGGCTTCCAGCCACCTGGCAGATAATCCATTCCTTTTATTAACTAAAATTTCAGATACTATATTACATAAATGATTTTTAACAGGATTGCTCTCCTACTGCATATCACTGTAAGTCAGGTCATTTCAATATTTTCTAATGGCTTCTATTCTTCTAGATCCAAGTCTTACAAGGCCATACAGGATAAGGCCCCTTTTACTATTATGACTTTACTCCCCCTTGTTCACATACTAGCCTTCTCTTCATTCCCTGGAATCCCCTAGGGCTGTTCCTACCTCAGGGCCTTTGCACTCGCTGTTTCCTCTACTGGAAAGCTCTTCCCTTTAGATTTCCATGTGATTTTCTCCCTCACTTTTTTTAGGTATTTACCTAAATGCCATTTCTGAAGCCGATTTCTCTGGCTAACTGGTTTAAAATTTCAACCTCCATTTTTCTGTTCAAACCAAAAACACACTCTTTTTTCCTTTGCTGCTTTTTTTCCTTCATTAAATTTTTCCCATTTAATATGCTATATAATTCACTTTAAAAAATTATGTATATTTATAGGTCTTCCTAATAGAATGTAGGTTCCATGGGATTTTTCTTTTTCTACTTTATATGCTATTGAATATTTAGTATCCTGAGTGATTTCTTGGTAATACGTAGTAGACACTCAAAAATGTTTATCTAATAAATGAAGGACAGTGATTCAATAAGAGATTATAACAGGGTTGCAAAAGAATTTTTTGAAACACCAAAAAAACAAAAAACCTTAGTCAATGGTGGTTATAATTAATTCACGTTGAAGGCTCACAACTCTTGAGGAGGTTGGGGAAAATCTTTGACCTTAAAGAGTTTATATCCTGAAAGAGATGAGATGATTAACTCCCATAAAGAAACTGATCAAACCAGCTAGCATAAAGCACAGTATGTGGCCTGGTCATGTGATGCTTGTATTATACAATAGAGATAAGGTCCCTGCTGGTAAGATACTAACTCTTTCCTTGCCGGTACTTCTATTTCTTTTTGAGATGATAATATTATTTCTAACATGTATATTTTTTTTTCCAGAAAATATATTAATTGAATTATATCAATAAAAATATATGTGTATATAGATTATATAAATTTATTTATTTAAATTAGTTTCAAGTATGTAGTACATTGGTTAGACATCTATATTGTTTATAAACTGGTCCCCCCGATTGCTCCCTCCCTCCCCATCATATTAATAGCCATCATATTTATGCTAACTGCATTCCCTCTGCCATGTTTCCCATGCCCAACTATCAACTACTAATTTCTTTAACCCTTCACCCTATTCTCCCAGCCCCCTAAGCCCCCTCCACTCTGTCTGTCACCAAATTGTCCACTATATTCGTGAGTCTGTTTTTGATTAATTTGTTCTTTTTGTGTATATTTTTGAAAATAGAAGTGTAAAGGCAAATAGTTATACAAAATCTAGGCTTTGCTAGAAATGATCTATTGAGCATTAAACATCAAATCATTAAATTCTGCTGTAGCATTATATGATAGGATGTGAAGTTCATTTTAAAGCAAGTCTATCCTCTAAATTTTACTGAAGGACTATCTTAGATACCAGGCTAAATCATAGATAAACACATGGTACCATCCAGCACAGGGCCTAGGGATCAAAGTCTAGCAAGGCTCCAGTGTCATTGGGGTCATTTTCAGTAAGTTTTTATATGCCATTTTACCACACCTTGTGGTTAAACTCCAATAAATGCAACCCACTCTAACATGGTCCTGGATACAGAAATGAAGGAAAAAGTCTTCAGAGCCTTGAAAATGGCCCTCCCATAGAATCTTATTCTCCTAGAACTGCCATCAGTAGCATATCTCTTTTATTTCCTAAGACTATGTGTCAGATTGGAGATAAGGCCCAAGTCTGGCTTTTACCTAACATGATGGCTAACACATAATAAACATTCACCACTTGTTTATTAAATTAATTTAGAGTTTAGGTTACCTAGCTTGGTTTTCATTCCTTCTGAATTTGGTTGAGGCCTAATTCCATTGACAAAGTTCTAAAACTGAGATGGTACAATTGAGAAAACAGAATCATCTATGCCCAGTTGTGATCAAATTCATAAATAAATATGACTTTGAATTCCCAAGAAAAATCAGGCCAGCTAACTGAGCTGTCGGTTTTTACATAAGATTATTGCATTTCTATTTTATCTATTCTCCATTTCTCTGTATCGGGAAGAATGAAATCTCTATTAAAAGATTCACTCTAGTACCAATTTTTTGTGACACCGAACATGTTATTTTTCTATTCTGACATTTAATTTTTTCTTTTTTAACTGAAGGGCTCATTAAACTTGTTTCCAATCTGACATGCACTGTCCTCTTTTTTTTTGCTTTAGTTTTTTCCTCCAGCTCCAAACTTCCATGACTTTATCAGATTTTCTTTTAACACTACTGGTTCCATAGTAAATGAGGGAATTTTGTTATAGTTAAATATTTAAAACTTTGACTTACTTTTTCTAATTGAAGTTATCTTTCTAAAATTTCATTGGGGAATAATACTTTCATTTTCATAACTACTATCAAATTATAACTCTCATTATAAATGTCTAATTATAATTACAAATTATAAACCAATCTAAATTAATCAATTTGTAAACTAATAGGCATTGCAAAGACGCTTTCACTTGTTAGAGGCCTCTGGAAATATTTGTAATGATAACAAGACAAAAAATTAATCTTCTTGGAAGTATTAAATATATGTCTTATGTAGATCATGGATAATTCAAAAGAGAGAAAAGAAATGATGCAATTTAAGTATTAATAGTTAGAATGTTAATGCTTACACTTTAAATGCTAAAATATTTGGAACTTAAATAGGCAGTTTGAAATAGGGACATGTTGATGTTTATAATCACAAAAGTTTGTTGCACTTCCAATATCACATTCAAATGAAGATGAAACAAACAGGTAATTTGTTAAACTAACAAGAATTATGCAGACTTCTAGATTCTTAATGATGATAATATATCATTAGACCTCTTTCGAAAACAGAATGAAATATATTTCATAATAATCAAGTTAATCTAGCTTTACTGATCAATTGCATATCAAAATTTCATGGAATTCTTGAAAAAGATCAAAATATTTATTTACACAAAGATTTGAAAACAGAACTATTACAAAAGCCGAATTATGATCAATACAATAAAAGCAAAGCATAATAGAAGAATAAATAACTTATTGAGGATTAAATTAATTGGGTTCTTGGTTATACAAGGTCCAAGAGAGAGCTAGTTAAATGAACTCATGCAACAGTGCTTGGTAGTTAATTTGTTCCTCTACCTTTAGAAAATCAGAACAGAAGTCCCTTCAAATAGAACAACACAGTGTAGGAAGGTAATTTTTATAGTTCCAGGTCCAGTCCTCATAGCTTTGCAGAGAAAGGCAGAAGGAAGAGGAAGAGCAGAGGAGAACACCACCCAGGGTTCACACTGGGTTCCGTGATTTCTCCAGTGACCTGTCTGTACCTCAACAACTAAGGCCAGTTAAATTTAAAAGGTCAGCTTCGGTGACAGGAACTTCCCTAGAGGAAAACCTATTTTTTATGGTCATTTCTCAACTACTTAATGAGTACTTTTCATGCCCAAGTCGGTGGTAGGTCTGGAGGATAAGGAATTGTGAAACATGCTACTTTTTTCCAGGGATATATAATCTGGTTGGGGGTGGGGGAGCTAAGAAATATCTAGGACATATATGGTAATTCCACATTCGTTAGGGGGAACTTGTTAGAAATAATAGAGAGAACCATGTGTTGGCATGAGGTTAGATTAGAAACATCATGAGATTCCTAAAATGAGGTTTGTATAAGTTAGAGGAGAGGAAGATGATTTTGAACTGGAGCTGGTTTTTCTAACCTCCTCCCTAAGAGCCAATTCCTAATTTCCAAAGGCACTGGCTAGTAAGATGATCAGTGCAGGCAATGGGAATGTTTGGGGCACAGGAAGTCATCCAGGTTGGCTGGGGTAGAGAGTCTGTGTAGGAATGTACTGACACATTAAGATGAGTATACAGCAGAATGAGAGGGACAGATTAAGGAAATGAATTACATGTCAAGGGGGAACATGGTTTTAAATATCAATATGATGTTTTATAAGGTACGGTTTGACAATTGCCTGCATGGAATTCATGCTGGATTAAGAATCAGGGTTCCAAGAAATGGATGGT